TATGGTCTTCGAGAAAGGCTGATTAGAACTACAGCTGTTGCATGACGCACGTGACCTTTGCAGGTACCCTTGTTCTTTCAGTCTCAGCCCATATGGCCCCATTCCCTCCCTCACCTCTCCATCAGAACGTGGGCAGATGGTTTGGGGCAAGCCTAGCCAATGTAAACTAAGTGGTTGCGTGTAAAAGGGAAGAGCCTGGGGGAAATGCAACTGGCATGTGTAAAAGGAGAAAGAGAGAGGAGGGGTGGCTTGCTAATAACAACACCTCAGGGGCTGCTCTTTCCCAGGCGACTCATAACAGATGGTCACATAATACAGTACAGCGCTATGCTGTGCATCTGGAGGACTTTGCCAGGACGTTTACCCAGTTGCCCAGACCTTGCCTTCTCCTTCCACAACCACAAATGAAAGGGAAGCCAACAGAGGCGGCCAGGTTTGGGGGTGACTTTGAACTGGTTTCCCTCGAAAACTGGGATCTGAGAGCAACAGCAGTAGAGCGATGCTTTGGCATTTCCAAGGCAGCCTCCCTGATGGAAGGGATGTAAACAAAAGCAGGCAAAGTGGAGAAAGAGATGCTTAAGCCTTCCCTGTCATTCCTCTCTTATAAACTGCAGCCCAGCTACTTTATGCTTGTGAACATATGGCATATTGGGGTCCTCTTACAGACATGTACATAACAACTGATTAGCTTCAACCTCCTCCTAAAATCAACAGAATATGTAAATGACAAAATGCCTATTTTCTTCCAGATCAAACTTCATAACAATGAGAAAATGGAACTGTTTTATTTTTTTTTCATTTTCTAAAGCAAATATTTGCAGAAATTTGCACCCAATAACAGATCCTTCATTTAAAAAAAAAAATGAAGAGCCCCAATTATATAACTCCTGCTGCTTTCCAAAACAGAAGAGAAACGCTGTGCGTTCTCCAGATGGCCAAGCACACCAAAAAGATCAACTGCTTTCTTGCTTCATCAGCATTCATAAAACAGAAAGCGCACACAAACACAAAAAAGAGGAATGAACCTTTTGAGACAACACCGGTCACCAAATGCTTGGAGAGATAACTCCTCCAACACTCACAAGTACTAAAGGAAGAAGTGGGTTGACAAGGATGAAAGTATTTTGACTCTGACAAACTAGGCCTTGCTTCTGCCAAAGACGCATACGATTTTTCCATCTCACAATAACTCGTGGCCAAAAAATGTTTCAGAGCATCGACTTGACCTCTAACCCAGATGTAGCGTCATCTAAGCTTTCTGAGGACTAGAAGACAAATATGAATTCAGAAGGCCAATGATTTATTCTTACAGGAAGGAAATTGTGCCCCTTGAAATCGCAGGTCCCCTTCTAAAGGTAAGTAGTAGGCTTGTTTTGACAGGAAAGAAGATTCATTTCTAAACTGGCACATTTTCGAATTATTTATATTTATAAAGTGCTTTCAAATGTATTGTTTTGGAAGACTTGGCACTGCAATTTAGCTTGTATCAGGACATTGCCAGCCAATCTAGATGGGCAATATTACATCCCTGACTATAAAAAAATGAAGTAATTGCAGCCATTAATCAATTAAAAGCTTTCAATCTTGGCCACATCTCATCCTGTGGCTTTTTACTATCCATTTCACCATGATGATGGTGGAAGGCTACTGAATCACAAATTCAGCAGCCTGAGAAAAGAAGTCAGAGAGGAGGCTGTAAGAGATATTCATCACTGACCTAAACACACAAAACTCTTCTTAAGCCCTGATGGTCTATCTCATGGCCAATCAAATGCAGAATATTGGGATTAGAACTTGGAGGAATTAGATTACAACTAGCAGAATCACCCAGCCAGATGTTAGGGGGAAAGCATGGAGAAGGCATGTTTATATTTGCTTTCTTGTCAGAAGGAGCTGCCATACATTCAGGGTGGATTTGATTTAAAATGGATTTTTATTTTATGAATTAAATTGGAAAAAAAATCAGTTTAGATAAATTTGACGTAAATAAATCTGATTTTAAAAATCACAGATTTTTTTTTACCCACTCTGATTCAGACCATCGCCTACAATGGTCCAGATAATTGAAGATAATGTATTCCTCTCTGGAGCAGCAGGGAAGTGAAACCTGTGCCCTGAAACCACAGCTCGCTTCCTGGCTTCCAGGAACGAACACAAAGGAAACACCTGGTTTTGCATTGAAGCTTTTAGGAAAGCTGCCTGCTCACACCCTCCCAATGTAAGCTGTTACAAAAAAGAAGAAGATTTAAAAAAAAAGGGGGGGGGAGAAAAGAAATACCCCACAAAACACAAGTTCATCACTTCAACTGGCACAGGAGGCTTAACAGATGCAGCTTTTACTTCCTGTTCTTATTTGTAAGCTACCATTCAGGTTGCATGACTAAAATGCAGGTCGGGCAGGAGTCATTCCAGTCTCTATATCACTGCATTATATATATTACAATGCCTGTCTGTGCTAGAATCTACCCAAAAGTCCACCTCTAACTGTGCCGATCAAACAACGCAGTGATGTTTGTGAACACTGTGGACAACAGGAGGTCTAAGGAGCAAAGGCCACTCAAAGGCACCTAGCCTTGCATAAGAACTAACAAGCCAAATGCATGTTTAGCAATATTACTATACTATTAAAAAAACTATCTTTGACATTTCTGTAGCACCAACTACACAGCAAAAGTGAAAAGCTCACCAGGTCGCCCTCTTGCTAGCCTTTACTGTTAACCTACCTTGGCAAAGAAACGTATCTGCTTTTACAAGTTTCTGGTTAATTTAACCCTTTTTGCCCATTTTTATTAGCTGCTTTTTTGAAGGACTACTTGTGTTCAGTTCTTTCAATATTTCAGCTGTTCTGCAGAAGCATATTAACTTCACAACACAGATTCATTTATGATTTATAAAATATACATTAAAGAACACAAGCGTGTGTTCGAAACACGCCATTGCCAAGGATGGATCTGAAGCTATGAACCAAACCAAATTCTCCAACAACCATATGCATCCCCATTTTAAAGACACCTGACGGAAAATGTGGTTATCGGTGGAGTTTCAAATCTAATAAAGAAAAGCAACTCCAGTTCAGATCTGCATCTCTGCAAGCAGATCGAGGGTACATTAAGTCCGCTGCCGTAATGCAAAATTAATACTAATTGACGGAGGCTTTTATGTGTTTGTTGCAGAACGGCAAACCGCCCAAATGGCAGGCAGCCAAGGTGATGAAAGAGAAGTGGGAAGGGTGAGAGAGGCGCTGACGAATGGTTCAGAAGCTTCAGTTAATCCAACCTCGGCTTTTGGCATTCAAAACCTCAGCAGGGGATTCCAAAAAGGAGGAACGTGCATGAAAAGTCAGAAATTCAGTGTGATTTATTAAGGCGAGCCTTGCCAAGAAAGCCAGTGAACCTCCCACCTCTGGCTGCAGAGGAGAAGAATGAACGTATAACCCAACTCCACCTTTAGACCAGACTCCTTTCTGTTCATATATGCATGAAGCGAGAAAGGCCAGCCTAGGATAAATCCACACCAGCCAGAAATAGGTCATGAAACGGCAACATCCCAGAATTTTTTTGTGCTGGCAGAGAAGGTATTACCCTCAGGATACCACCCTCTGGGTCTTAATTGGGCAGAGCACTGTGTCTAAGGCCAGCCCTACAGCAGCCTGGAAGAATATGTGCAGGGTTAAAATATGCTGGTGATGACACCATGGTAACTAATGATGAATGGGCAGTGTGCAAACTGTATCCAGTGAACAAAATAATGGTGTGTGGGGTTTTCTCCCTGGTCCCCATCAGGTTCTGGAGCTACGAAAGGGTGAAATATTTTGGGAAAACGGAAATTTAGAAAAGAGAAGAAAGTGGGGTGCCCCTAAACCTTTTGCATTGTTTGTTATTTCTCCACTTTAAATCCTACAAAGATAACCCAAACAGTTTGCAAACACTTGTGTGCATGTACATATGTTGGGACGATCTGGGTTGAACTGGAGAGAGACAGGAACTGGGTCAATTTAGAAAGGGAATTAGAAACCGGAGAGAGAGAGACTGGATCTGAAAATCTATTGGGTAGGAAAGATGGGCTCCCCTTTATTTCACTTTTCTCAAAATTGACGCTTTCTGAAATTATTTTACCTTTTAAAATAAATACAAGTTAATTCTCTATTATATTATTTGCATGTAAGGCAGGGTTGGTCCTATCATTAGGCAAAGTGAAGAAGCTGCCTCAGGCAGGGTATTTTCAGTATCAGGAAAAGGCATTAAGTTGTTAGTTCCTTGACTGGTGATTATTGTAATCTTACTGCCAGAAATGTCCAAAGGTGCTTTTGAGATTTTCATTCTCAAGGGCGCAGATAACTTGCCTGGCTTTGTACCCCTCACCTCAGAGTCATTAGCTGTTCTGCCTCAGGCAACAAAAGATATGAGGCTAACCCTGACATAAGACCAAGTTAACCTCTGTTGGGAATATATTTTGTGGGTTGCCACCAACTACACATCCCCACAAATTAGATCTATTGCAAGTGAGATATTCCAAAAGCTTAGGGAGTTTTCGCACAGAAAACGTTCAAAGCACCACTTAATGAATATCTCTCCACCCTGCTTCTTCCCTTTTTTAATATAGAGGTTGTTAAATTTTTCATAGCTCATGTGCTTTTTTCCCTGCGAGCATGTTTTTTTAATTTAAACATCTATTTAAATGCGGAAGAGAAAATTAAGAGGAAATAATTGTTGCACATTTCCCTAAAGCAAAACAGCTTTGGGCAAAGCCCTGTGAGAATAAACATTACACTCCTTAAGAAACAGCATGCTAAACTGGGGTTGGGTGTTCTTTGAAATCCAGCTACCCATTTACACACTCAGTTAATGATCTCTGCAAAGAGGTAATACAAGAGAGCTGTGTAACTCAGAAGCTGGCATGCTCCAAATACACATTGGCTCAAAGAAAAGATGTGTCATTTTAATTATCTGACACCCTCTTTTCTTAGGGATCAGCATGTCAACAAATATGTCTTTACCAACCTGTATCATGTACAGCTGGGCAATTCTATACTCGTCCACGCTCATGGGAAGAGGAATCCGATACTCCTTTATAAGCATGTTGAAATCCAAGCAGCCTTTTGGTGTGGTCAGAAAAGCAAGCCCCAAGTGGTCACTGCAGGCTGCTTAAATAATAGTAAGCTTGTGCATTGATGCCCCCTGAAATAAAAGCAGAGAGAGAGAAAGAGAGAGAGAGAGAGAGAGAGATGCATTTTTAAAATTCATTTCTTGTTTTCAGGTGTTTCTCTTGCCCTTTTTACTCATAAACTGAGCAAACTGCAAGCTTCTCTATTCCACTTTAGATCAATCATGTGCCGGCCAGTCAATTTATGGTGACCCTTCCCAGGGTTTTCTAGGTAGAGAATATTCAGGAGTGTCTTCCCATTCTCTTCCTCTAGGGGGCAGCCTTGGGACTGCACAGCTGGCCCAAGGCCACCCAGGCTGGCTCTTCTCCCGGTGGGGGAATCAAAGTCCACTGAGCTATCGAGGCCACCGTTCCAGTTTAGAACAGCTAACTACTACCTAAAAAGAACAAAACAAAACCCAATGCTGCTGTGATGAGTTCCAGGACCAGAGATGACCCACCGAGAGGGTTAAACATTAACAGGAGTCCAAGACAGACTCCAAAACGTGTCCGTCCCAAACTGAAGGCCGGCTAGGTTTCCGTTCGCCTCCCATGAGAACTCTATGTGCTCCTCTCAGCATCCTTGGCAAAATGTGCAGTACAGTAGTTGTGCATCCAATCATTCAACCCAACAAGGGCTCCTTAAGGGCAGAACATTTGAGAATCACCGCTTTCAGCCAAGATTCTCCCAAGCTCTGTACTTGGCCAGAGAAGAGAGCCTTGGTGTACAACCAGAACAGGGATCAATACCGCTGCCTCGCCCGGCTTCACAATCTATCAAGCGGCTTTTCCACACACCTCCTCTACAGCTGAAGCGTGAAAAGCCTAAAGATGAAAAATGAATGCTTTTAGTACAGCCTTAGGGGCAGTAATTACACCCTCCCTCTTTAGTAGGTGACCTGCCCGAGAACGAAGAGTAAGCCTGGTGTTCCATTCAACAGCCTCTCTGTTGTCTTCGGTGGTTAGGAAACTGTGGAATGAAGCCAGTTACATTCATGTCTGGTTGCCTGGTTGCTTTGCCAACATTTAGATTTTTAGGTCTGCTGCAAAGTCACCCGGATATCTGTCAAAATTTACATTTTTGGCCCCATCAATCACATTAAAAAAAAGGTACATCATGCCTAGAACCTAGTCTTATGTGGGCTCCTGGCAGTGATTCAGATCTGTAGGTTCAACACTGCTGCCACATCTAGTATTTCCCGATCATTATTTGGCTCCCATTATCAAAAACTGCTAGCTTATCTCCGTTTAACCAATGAAAGCCCAATCCTGCAAGTCCCTACTCAAAAGAAAGACCATGAAAATTAGCAGTTTACTACCCAAGTGAGTCTAGGACGGCAGCCTTAATCAACCTGCAACCAAGATGGAGATGTTAGCTTGTTTCATTATGCACAACGGAAGCAGAAAGAAGGCTGACAGCGCCCTTAAGACGAAGAGATTCATTTCACAGTGAGCTCTTTGGCAGTTGTATTTTTAGTGTTTTTATATTTATGTTGAAAGCCATCCAAACTCTGGTTTTCTCCATCAGATATCATGCAAATGGTGCACGCAAACAAATAAAAATATATTTACAGATTACCAAAATCTCAACATAGACACCTTTCTGAGCTACGGACGTGGGATGGTTCACCATTTGAGGGCTTTAAGGTAACTTAACTTAGATGGCGAGGCAGTATATACATGAAATAAGATACAACTACCACTCAGTCCAAGAGGCTAGCTTTTAATACTTCTGTTTCATCCGTTCAGAATAAACACAGCCGCAAAACACAAACTGCTGTGCCTTTCAACTCACCGTCTGCTTAATTAAAACTTGGACCTTCATCAGTTAAAAAAAACCCGGTTCCTACCCATCTGCCAACCATTAAACCTTGCAGGTAATGCCCGTTTCACGGCACCCCTCCTCTTCTGGCACTCCCTCCCACAGCCGCTTTCCCTTCTATCTCCCAATCCGCTTTCCAGCCTATCACGGCTGCCATAAAAAGCAGAGAGAAAAGGAAAGAGAGAGAACCACGCTTATTCCAGATGGTCACACACCAACCTCAGGTTCAACCTTATTAGTCCCAAAAGGCTAATAAGTGTCCCTGGTCAGTCACAGAGTCCATCATCTTTGGACCAAGGCTCCACTCTTTCCTTTGGTTTCCTCCCTCTCTCCCTCCCATGTTTTTCTCCACCCTTATCAAGGACTGAGCACTCCCAGCTCCCAACAGAAAGCAGCATTAAGAGCCTTGAGGCACCTTGCAGGATCAGATCCTAAATACCTTCATTCTCACATCTAATAGCAGCAGGCGAGGCAACTACCCTCTCTTCAAGGGAATAAATCTGCCAGGAACAAGGACAGTAAGTGAACGGGAAATCGGATTTAGCCTCTCAAAAAAAATATATATATATACACACACACTACATTAGAAACAAAACAGTCTCTGTGTTTGATGTCATGGTAATCCATATTTATTAAGCAACCCATTCTCCCCCCCCCTTTTTATTCATTGAGGCTGCTTGCTATTCAGGACAGAACAGGCTCCAGGGTCATTTGTGGTATAAGATGTCTTAGAGCCCAAGAACTGCCTGTGAGAAACCTTGTCTGCCAATTCCAAATGAATATAAGATGGGTTTAATGACTATGTTGTGAAGTGGGCTCTGCACCTGTACAGAGAGATATGCTTTTTACTTACTTCCCATGTTCCTGAGTGGGGCGCTGTTGGAAAAAAATGAAACAGACAACGGCTACCTGTGAGAAATGAACCAACCGGCTAAAAACTCCTTAAGGTCAGAGGGCCAGGATCCTGCTGAGAAAAGCTGCATGCATACGGACAAGCCCATAAGCGATCCCCACCTCACTAGCCCGTCAAGCTGTCTGCTGAGACAATATTTATTTAGTTGAGAAAAGCTGCATGCATACGGACAAGTCCATAAGCGATCCCCACCTTACTAGCCCATCAAGTTGTCTGCTGAGACAATATTTAAAGCTGAAAACAATGTATTTTAATTGCATTTTAATTGTTTTATCTTTTCTACTGTATTTAAATTGTTGTAAGCTGCCCAGAGACCTTTGGGTAGTGTGGGTGGCATACAAGTTAAATAAATAAATAGACGATGGTGGTTCACATGATTAAAAGATAATATTTAAAGCTAAGAACAAGGAGTACTGTATAAAGAGGCAGCTTACATCATTAAAAGACGATATTAAAAGTAAAACAATAAGTATGCAAATAATAAACATGAACAAATACCACTCTGACTGATGCTAAATGTTCTTCTTGTGCTGCTTGTCTTGACAACAGAGTAGAATATAGTTATTTATTTGTTTGAGTTGTGTGAGGATACAGAAGCAACAGTGCTGCCGAATGAAATGTGTCGGTTCTTTAAAGTGCCACATGTTGCTTGGTCGGTTTTGTTGCACCAAAACCATCTCATAGAGACATTTCCAAATGTGCCCCCCCACCCCAATTTTCCAGTCAGAAACATAAACGCTGCGTGGTGAGGGGGCGAGCCAAAGAGCCACTTGCCTTTCCCACCAAAACTGTGTTCCCTCCATGAGAGGGAAGTCATCTTCCATGGGGTTCCATAACACTGGCCCCCGAGCCTTTTTCATTAAAGTAGTAATAAAGCAGACCTATCTCGGCTCCCTCAGAAGCCCTAAATAAATTAGCTGTCTGGCACTGCATGATAAACAACTCTCTCCCCAGAACCCCAGTTTCCACACCTTATTTCCTGCCGTTCCTCCAGATTTTATATTGCTCTTATACTTGTCAGTAGAAACCTGAGAGGAAATGTCTTTGGCATGAGAGACCAGGTTCAAGAGCCCACCGCCCATCCTCGCCCCTCAAAAACTCTGACCCATAGAAATTTCTCTGACAGGCTAATCCGTCAGATAAACCTTCTTTGACGTTCCCGAACGGGGTGGGGATAACTTCATTAAGGCGCTTTTAATTAATATTTTCAAACATGCCGGTAATATTTATAAGCAAAATGGGTTTCACTCAAATTCTCCACACGTCACAGGCGACACAAAATCCCGGCTCTCAAAACCCCATGAGTCATCATCTCCTTCCCACAATCCCTGCAAGAAATATTTTTATTTTTAAAAGGTTTAATTATAGGGATACTATGTTGCCCTGGATGCATGCCTGCCATGTTTCCTTGGTGGGTAGGAGATTGTGCTTTATGGGCTTAATTTTTTTAACGAGGAAGAACATACGACCATCAACGTAGAAGCCATAAAAACCACAGGGAACAGCAAACTAGGAAGAGAGAAAATATTACACTCCTAATGAAGCGACACACAATAATCTCTCAAACAGACACAGCCAAGGAAAGGACAACATTGTATTTCAGACTGAAAAATAGATATAAGCCCTGTTACCCTTCGGGAGCTAGATAAATAAATCTTACAAAATGGTTACATTTTTAAAATTGCATTTTCTGCTTATATTGCTCAGGGACTGGTTTTTGGAAGAAGCAGTTTAGAGTGATCTTAGAATAAGGATTAGAACCAAGAAAGAAAACAAATATCAAGGATTCCTATGAGTTAAGGACAAATTGAATTTTAACCTTGCTCTGTAGGTAGTGTAGGATATATGTAATATAGGAGTATGCAGGAGAGAGAGAGAGAGAGAGAAGAATTACATTATACATCATGTTGTACCAAACAAAGAAATGTCTGTGTTCATTTTCAATATCACTTTGGAAATTGTTCAGTCTGGTGCTCGATGCAAGTCCACTAACGAGCTATATGGGTCTGATTTTGCACCAAAACCACATGGCAATGTGCCAAGATACCAACGCACCCTAGGCTAAAAGCCACTTTTCTGCTTAGTCCAGAACAGCTGCAAAAATATCTTACGAGCAGAGTAAAAGCAGTTTGGGATTTTGAAAAGATTGTGGACGGGTGTCGCTTCTACTGGAGTGCAAGTTGCGTCCGTGATACCTGCTCGGGGTGTGTAATTGCAACAGAACAGATTATTTTAAAGGCACCTCAGGTTTTTCTCCCCCCCACCCCCCTGAGAAAAGTGACTGGGTAACATTGATATTG